TATGCACAAGCGTGTTCTCTCTCTCTCAAAAAAAAAAAAAACCAAACTATTTAACACTTTAAAGAGAGTCTAATTGTAAGAGTTTAGCAATTTCTTACACTGTACATCAACCTTCATTGATAAATGATGAAAATCCATCTCCTCATGATATGATTTGCTGCAACACTCAAAAATATGCAACAACACTTTCACAAAATGCTAGTCAGCCTATATTTTCTTCCAAAGGATGGTAGATAGGATGCCATTAACATATTTCATAGCCAGTGATATAAAGTAAGGGGCACAAAATTAAACATTCAGAACTGTGATTAGAATACTTAGAGAGTGTGTATTTTCCCTAGAGGAAGAGAAGTATCCAGAAAATTTGTCTACCCAACTAAAATCCAATATTATTGACGTTCTTTCTGTGATACACTCTCACCATCATCTCAGGAAGTCATTTTCGGATCAAAATAAATAGAAATTAATTGTAGAGTATCTGTTATTCAAGATACATAAAATGCTCCGTATGTTTCTTTTATTTAGTATAGTTTGTTTAAATTTTGATTTAGAGAATATAAGAAGGATATTTATAAATGCTTTTTTCTTTTTGGTGAGCATAGCTTAATGGATAGGATTGTTAGTCTTGTACACCTGAAGCTAATATGACATTATATGTCAATTATATTTCAATTAAAAATATATAAACATAAATAGATGTAAATGTATAAATACATATATATAAATGCTTTTTTAAAAATATTTTATTTTTTTAAGTATCTCTACACCCAACATAGGGCTCAAACCTACAACCCCGAGATCAAGAGTCACACTACTGAGTGAGCCAGCGAGGTACCCCTATATAAATGCCTTTTTAGTCGATTTCAATCTTATTCTCCCAACTTGATTTTTTCCACTGGGTCTTGAATTATTAAGTCATATGATCTTTTATTCTAAAAGTTTGCTAGCAAGTGGGAAAGGATTGCTGAATCTAAATTTTTATTCTTTTGAATATTTTTCTTATATTTTGATTTATTATGTTTATCTTTATAATCATGTAATTTTTATAATTTGGAATCTTACATCAATATTTCCTTAGCAACTATCATTAGAAAATAGTTTCAGAACAATGTCTTTACAGAATTCAGTTTAACTAATATATCTTGAGTACCTCCTTTATGTAAAGCACTATACCAAGAGCTTTAGTGATATGAAAATGTATATAATAAAATTCCCATTTCACAGGAACCTAAAGACTAATAAAAATATGGGCTGAGACAAATATTAAATAACTAGGTATAAAGCATATTATTCATGTCTTAACCTTAAAGCCAAATGCAAGTATCAGGGAAAAAGGAGATCATATATAGTTGGAGAGATCAGGGAAAGTTTCCTGAAGGATGTAGCATGTCTGATGGGTACTGAAAAGTAGGAAGATTTCTAAAGAACTTCAGTGGGAGCTAAAAGAAGGGGTAGTGGAGAACATTGCAGATGGACCCACTGGCATGATAAGCAAAAGGAGGTGAGAAAGTGGGGGTTGTATTTAGGGAGTAAAACATACTTCATTTTTTATACTGTGTTTGACATATATGAAAGAAGTAATGGAAAATAATATTAGAGAGGGTAGGTTGTTTGTATGTACATTGTAGAGTGCCTTAAATGGTTAAGTTGAGGAGTTTGGATTTAATTTAGTAAACACTGGGTGATTCCTAAATATTGTTTAGAAGAATGATAGAGTGAAACATAATAAGAATAACAATTAGGAAACTTATAATTGATGGGTGGGAGGTAAATGAGGGCTTGAATTACTATTTTGTAGACTGCTATCCATCTCCCAACTATTGTCATAACACTGGTAGTTGATTTGATTTTTATAAAAATTCCTAAGAAATTTGAGAAATAATATTTTTAAAGTTTGAACTACTTAGTTATCCCAAGATTTTTAACTAACTTTTGAACATTTGAAAGTTAAAATACCACTTGTCCATTAATTAATTATTTAAATAATACAATAACTATTTTTAATAGTCTAGGATTAAGTAAATCCTTCCCTGAAATTACATAGACTACTGAATGCATTTATTCTTTAATCTATCAGGGTTCTCTCTGGAAGGTTACCTTTTTTTGTCTGATTCATCTTATAGTCCTGGATCCATGTCAACATGTCTGTGAGGCTGTATATTTTGGGAACTAATGCTTTCTGTGTTGGTTGAATGCTCATAACATATACCTTGGTTAGCCAATAGATTTTCCTCCATATTAAGAAAAAAGAAATTAAAAAAAATAAAGAGCAAAGATTTATTAAGAGCTTTTTATATGTCAGGAATTATGCTCAACACTTTGCACGTATTGTTCCTTTATTTAAATTTATTTCAGACATACATCAAAGTGCAGAAGATATTAAAACTAATATCTGTGTAGCTGCCACCCAGTTGTGTCCGTTCTTAACTTTTTACCATGTTTATTTACAGTCTTTTTTTTTTTTTTAAAGAAATAAAACATCGCAGAAAAAATTTAGTCTCTGTACCTCTTGTCCATTTCCTTCTGTCCTTTCCCAGTGGTAATCACCATCCTAAATTTAGTGTTTTTCAATAGGATACATGCTCCAATACTTTTAGTATATATGTTCATATTTGAAATCATTTTATTGTATCGTTTGGCAAGTTTAAAATCCTTGTAAAACATCCTTCTGAGCCATCGGTGGCATTATCAGACATTTTGTTTTGGTCAGTGTGATTGGTGTAAAATGATATCTCACTGTTGTTTTATTTGTATTTCCCTAATTATTAATGAGGTGTGCTTGCTTTTGTCTGATCTCAGATTTCCTCTTTATTTTGCTGGTAAATACTCTTTGTTCACTGACACATGTGAAAAGTTTTCAGTTTGTGGGTTTTTATTTATCTTGTTTATATGCTTTATAGTGGAAAAGTTTTAACTTTTAATATAGTCAAATGTGTCAGTGCTTTACTGTTGTGTCTTAAGTCCTTCACTTGCATAAATGTGCTTTTCATATTTAAGTCTTTAATCAATCTGGAATTTCTTATTGTGTATTATGTAGGAAGGATGTCTGGTTTTTCTCTATATGAATAACTTCTTGAAGTAACCTATTTGCTTTTGTGGTATGTCCGTAGTGATACATATAAATCTGGTTAATTCCTTGAACTACTTATGGGATCCTGTTGTATTACTTTCCTTTAGCCTATCGATGGACATTTTATCTATTATTACGGTAAAAGCTGCACTGAACATCCTGTACATCTCCTTGTGTTTGAGTATTTATTCATACTTTATACCAGATAGTAGGTTTTTGGTCATGTTACGAATGTTGCTGGCCTTTTAACTTTTCTTATGGTACTTCAGCTGCATAGAAGCTTTAAATTTGGATGTTGTAAGATATCTGTCTTTCTGTTCATAGATTTTACTCCTGGTGTCTTCCAGCTAGAAAATGTATTTTGAATGGAAGTATTAGGCACTGCTTGGTATATTGGTGAACAAAACAAAAGTCTCTACGTTTTTTGGAACTTAAGAAAGCTTTCTCTATCCCATGGTCAAAAATGCATTTTCTTTCAATAATTATTAAATATTTTTTTAAACATTTGGATCTTTATCTGTAATTTATTTTTCCATTTAGTACATGCTGGAATCTAATTTTATTTTGTTACCTAACACTGTTACTTAAAAGCAGTATTTTGTCTATTCAGTTATAATTCCACTTCTTTTATACATCATGTTTCTATAAATTTTTAAATCTACTTCTGGATTTCCTATACTCTTCTGTTTGTTACTGTGTCTGTACCATAGTGTTTTAATTACTCTAGCATTAACAATGTTTTGATATGTAGTAGGGCAAGTCCTTTCCTCTTTTTTCTTTTCCCATTTACCTTTTTTTTTTTTTTGGCCAGGTTATCTTGGCTATTCTTGTACATTTACTCATTCATAGGAATTGTAAAATCTGTTTAAGATAAAATTTCATAAATTATTCTATTGGAATTTTTTTTGGAATTGCACTGCAGTTACAGTGAATTTTAAAGAATTAATATATTTACAGTATTGACCGTTCACATATCCGTGAATGGTATAGTACCATTTATTTATATCTGTTTTTATGTCCTTCAGTAAAGTTGATTTTTCAGTAGTTATTGCAACTTTTTTTTGTTTTGTTTTTGTTTTTTATTCTCAAATACTACCTTTTGTTACAGTAGTGAATAGGGTATTATTGCCTTTTACATTTTCAAATTACTGCTGGCATTTGGGAAAGCTGTTCTGTTGATCTTCTGATAACTTAGTATATTCTCTTATTAGACCTAATAATTGGTAGATTATACATAGGTTTCTAGGTAAATGGTCAAATTGTCTGTAAATAATAATAGTATTGTATCTTCTTTTTCAACCTTTAAATTTTGAACTCTCTACCCTGGTTCCACTGACTAGAACCTCTAGTACAATGTTGAAGTTAGCAGTGATAGTGAGCAGCCTTGCATTAATAAGCTGCATTTAATGCAGTGTTTTTGATGTTTTAGCATGGAAAATAGTAATTGATGTAGGTTTCTGGTAGAGAGTCTTTATCAAGTTGAGATAATTCTTCCTATTTCAAGTTTGCCAAGAGTTTTTATTATGCATGGATGTTAAAATTAACCAAATAAACTTTCAACATCAGTTTAGATGATTACTTGTTTCTCTTCATCTTTTTTAATTGCATTAGATTTTCTAAGGTTGTAAAATTTTTAATTGTATTTAATTTTAAAGATTTTTTATTTATTTATTTATTTGAGACAGAGAGAACGAGAGAGAGAGCACATGAGAGGGGGGAGGGTCAGAGGGAGAAGCAGGTTCCTTGCTGAGCAGGGAGCCCGATGCGGGACTCGATCCAGGGACTCCAGGATCATGACCTGAGCCGAAGGCAGTCGCTTAACCAACTGAGCCACCCAGGCGCCCCAATTGTATTTAATTTTAAACTACAGCCAATTTTGGGCTTGGATGATGTGAGAAAACATTTTAAGATGCAATATTCTCTGTTACAGAAAACTGTCTTCAAAGGAAATGGAGATGACACATTAGAAAACACAATAGTTGATCAAAGGTAAGGTTGGGTTACCAGAAAAATATTATTTTCTTAAGTATATTTATTGTTGAAATAATTCCTTTAGTATTAGGATTGTTTATTTCATAGTCTGCTATAATTAGATTTAAATATTGAATATACAAGGGGGAAAAAAGCCAGCATTATAATCTATAAGAGTAGCTCTCAACTGGGGTGATTTTATCTCCCTCCTATTCGTAACCTCCTCTGGAGTTTCTAGAAACTGGCCCTCAAATGTAGAGGGCTAAGAGAGACTGAAGGAAGAGGCAGACCACTCCAGACTGGTAAGTGGCAAATTTATTAAGCAATAGAATCTATTTATGAGGCTTGTCTTGGGAGGACGCAAGACAACTATATTTCCTCACCTGCCTTAAAAGTTTATATAGAAGCTTTAACTTGGTTCAGTCACGTATACAGGAGGCCTTAACTGGGTTCACTTACATACCTAGTATAGATAGCCTCAGCATCACTTTACTATCTTAAGGCTGTATCTTTGGAGCAGCTTCTGGAACTGCGGAAGGCAAGCAGAACACATATTCCAAGGATAGGGGAGGGGGTGAGTAGCCTCCAATTGCCCAGGTTCAGCTCAAGGGTCAATTCGCAGTTGTTTTCTTTTCTTTCTTTTTTTTTTTTTTCCGCAGTTGTTTTCTTGATGAACTCCTTCATTACCTCCCCTCCGTTGATATTTGACAAATCTGGAAATATTAATTGAGCTAAGATTGAGAACAGGAAAAAGGCAAAATATTGATTGCTATGGATACATTTAACATGAAAATGTTGATGTTCAATTTAATTTACATATTATACATTAATTTACATATTATACATTAACAATATGCCATTTTTAAATTATGTATTTTTTCTTTAGCTTTTTAGCTCCTCTTATTATTGAGTATGATAAGCATCTGGAAGAGCTAAATAGGCAGCTGAAGTATTATCAGGTATGAAATCGTAGTTATCAAGCTTTTTATAATCTATTAAAAAAGTAAACTATACTCTTTTCAAAAACATTGATGAGGAATAAAATATTTAGCTATAACTAATCAGTTCTTCGCTGTCTGTAAGAGAGAAAGAGTTGTGTGTGTGTGTGAGTGTGTGTTTAAAAATTATTTTCAGTTTTGTTTTTTAATCCACTGTTTCCTTGCTCCTGGTATCTCCCAAGAAGATCTCTTAGATGCTTGAAGCTCTTAAACTCATTATTATATGCTTATATCTTTATTTTTTCCCCCAGGGAGACCCAAAACCATCTCATACTTTGAGACCTTTTCTTTACCCTCATTCTACCTGTATATCCATTTGGAGAATGGATTTTTCACCCAATTTCAAATATTATGTCCATCAAATTTTAGATGCATTTGATCAGTTTCTAATATAGGCTTAAGCTATGGCAGCTTTTGTCTGAAATCCTCTTAGTAATGAGGGTTTATTTTAGGAGTGAACAGAGTGAAGAAACCAAGGACACTTGTATATCCTAGAATTTCTAAGATTAGGATATATAGCAGGCTCATGGAGAACTAGAATAACAGCACAGCATTGTTCAGGATACAATCTGAGTTTCAACGATTGACATTTTTAGAATATTGTTAATATTTATAATTTGTTTCTTTGATTTTAAAAGTTTTTTACATTTTCCTCCCAAACTTTTGGACTTACTTTTTTTTTTAGAAAGAAACTTTTTTTTTTTTTAAGATTTTATTTATTTAATTGACAGAGAGAGACAGAGAGAGAGGGAACACAAGCAGGGGTAGTGGGAGAGGGAGGAGCAGGCTTCCCGCCGAGTAAGGAGCCAGATGCGGGGCTAGATCCCAGGACCCTGGGATCATGACCTGAGCCGAAGACAGTCGCTTAACCAACTGAGCCACCCAGGTGCCCCAACTTTGACCTTTCTGATTGTTGGGTAACCATACAAAGGAAGCATTTGTTAAAGAGATGCTATAAGTCTCAAGCTAAGTCCACCAGAAGGTGATAAACTTCTTAGAGTTTGAATATACTCATCATTGTGTTTGGTTTAGATACCAATCCCTGGATCAGTTCAGTTGGGTAGCAAGGTTGATTTAATTTAATGCAAATGAAAGAAAGTATAGCAACTTTATATAAAAACACCACTTTAAGACTGATTTCCTCAGAATGGGGCTGTAAGTGTGGCAAACACTAAACTTTATTTATATCTCTTCTCCATGCAGGGACAGCAAGAGATCCTACCATATGGTTTGAAGTCTAGTGTATAATAAGCCCTCAATTTTTGATGAATGAATAAAAAACCAGGGCTTATTAGAACAAGATGATTAGATCTCGCTTAACAATATCCTATTTATAAATTAATGGATTGACTAAAAGTGTTTTACTAAAAGAACCCATAATGCTTTCATCTTCTAAAAATAAGTTAGGTTTTCCATTGCATTTGAAATTATTTATACTCTCATTTCCAGGATTAATCCTCTAATATACATTTACAAAGTGATCCTGTAGACCCAAATTTCAAAAACAAGCATTTCTTTAAATTGCAGTTCCTGTTTTATTGTAAGTTAATTAGGTGTTTTCCTAGTCTTTACTATGTGCTTTTTTTTTTTTTTAACCTTTGGTCATTTAAGTTTGAATCGACCATAGTAATGTCTTTTAATCTTTCTAACTGACAATTAAAGAGCAACAGAAAGCTCTCTTCTGCACACATGGCATTTTGCTTTTATTTTTAGGGCTAGTGAGTTAAAGTTTCTGCTGAATTCACTCAGGATTGCTATAATGACATATTATGTGGTTTGATTGTTATAAAATGGGGTAACTAGTTATTTTGAATTAAACTTTTAAATTTTTAATTTTTTATAATCTATCTGATTCATATATCTCTTTAATCAGCTATTTTACTAAGGTGTTTAACTTCATTTTCCCATTTAGCATTCTCAATCTAAGAGTGATTATTGAATTAATTACAAGAGAGAAAAAACTGTAGCAGAAAGCCTAAGGACCTGTAACAAGAGTAGTTGCTACTTTTAGAGAGAACAAAAGATGCTGACAGATAAATCTAAGAACAGTTGCTCACATGGATATTACTGATTAGAACTAGTTCTTAGGATTTATTGACCCAATAAAAAAATGGTTTACCTTGAATACAAGACAAGTATCGCTATAGTTCTCTATATGAAAAATTTTCTTCCAAAAATATAAATAAGGGAAAATTTGATAATATGAGAGGGACTGCTGAGATTTTGTTTCCTTCCAACTATTAAATATTTGAAATATTTTACAGTAAAGAATCTTTAGTGTGACCATAATGGTTCACCTGTAATCCTAGCTATATATATATTAACTATTTGAGTAATTTGAGTAAATATTTTTTAAGATACACCAACATTTTTGCAACTTTTAAAGATCTTGCAAGATTTTGCAACTTTTAAGATCAGGTTTTTTGTTTTGTTTTGTTTTAATAACAAGAATCAGGATAATTGCTACAATAAAATCCAAACTTCTTAGTTACCATGGCATTCAAGACCTGCTGCCTGCCTTTCCAGTTTTCTTTCACTTCATCATCACTCAATGTATGGTCACTTCTCAATTATCTGATAGTGAATTCATTCTTTTTGGTTTAATTGTGATTCATTCACAGCAAGGACCTGGGAAAGGTTCACCTTTAGAGTTGGCTGTTACTGATTTCCTAGACCAAGCTGCCACTAGCTTCTCTGGTTGAAAGGGAGGCAGAAGGGCTTGGAGCATTGCCTGTTCCACCCTTCCCTTGCCAGGTTCACTCCAGGCTTGGCTCTTCTCCTTTAGCCTAGGATACCCATTCAAGACTAATGGACATATCATGAGTTGATTGCAGTTTTGTTTTAAGTGTGATTTTACATGGCCTCCTTCCTGCTCTCCCCTTGCCCATTTACTCTCATTGAGAGCTGACAACTATGCCTGTGTTCTAATATTTTTTGCCTCTTTGCTTTTACACATATTTCTCCCTACTTGAAATGCCTTTCCTTTCCTGTTGAAATTTTACAATCCCTTTTTCTCCTCAGAATTAATCATACCAAACTCATTCTCTTTACGGTATATTTTATTCTCATTTGTATTTTAATTAGTGATACTTTTTTTTTCTCCATTTTTCCTATTAAAGTATATGTTAGTGATGATATAGGTTTACCATAGCAACCTTATGTGGTGTGGAGAGTTTAGACAGTTAATAAAGGTGGCGAATAGGAGCCTAAGTGAATTACTGCTAAAGAAGATCTCTATTTTCTTTTTCACCATTAACCTTTTACTTTTTCAGATACAAGCTCTTATATGGGCTTCAACTAAACTAAAGTGAATTAAGAATACATTCAGGGTATGGGGATCATCTGGTATTTGTTATAGTGACATACTGAGGAATATCTCTCATCTGTTTTTTTTTATAAACATCTATAAATCATAGGATTGCATTTGTGAATATTTCTCAGTGTGTCATATAAATATTTTCTTTATATTTGTTTCAAAATGAATGCTTTATTATGTTCTGTGTATCATTAAAATATCCATATTTACTAGTGCTTATTAGGAGTAAAGAATCATTGTTTCTTATCAGTAGCCTAGTGCCATAGAATCTGACTGCTTGCATAGGAATGGATTACTTAATAGAGACCTGTCTGCAAAATGTATTCCATATTTTAATCTTTCAGAAACATATGGGTGAGATGAAACTACATCTTGAAAATGTCATCAAGGAAAACGCAAGGTAGATCAATTAACTGTTGATTTTTTTATTGTTATTCTAGGTAACTTTTATTGTTGTTATTTGATATTTTATTCATATAGTATACTGGTTATGAGTACAGACTCTGGAGCCTGATTTTCTGTTTGACTCCTAGGTCCATTACTTACTAGCTATGCAACCTTAGACAGTTACTTAACCTCTTTGTGCTTTAGTTTTCTCATCTATGAATTGTAAATAATAATTTATTTCATAGGGCTGACTGTAGGGGAAGATAGGGTACATAATAAACGCTTTATAAATATTAGCAATCATTAATAAGATAGTTATTTTAATCACGTATGTTATGAAACATACTGATAAAACAAAAACTGACAATCCACCATCCAGTTAAGAGTTAAAAAAAGTTACCAGTACTGGTACATCTACCCATGTTTTCCTTCCCTATCCCATTCCTCTCCTGCCTTCTGCCAGATACTAACACTTTCTTGAATTTTGGGTTTATCATTCCCTTGCTTTTTAAATTTTTTTTTTTTTAAAGATTTTATTTATTTATTTGAGAGAGAGAGAATGAAAGAGAGCACATGAGAGTGGGGAGGGTCAGAGGGAGAAGCAGACTACCTGCCGAGCAGGGAGCCCGATGTGGGACTCTATCCAGGGACTCCAGGATCATGACCTGAGCCGAAGGCAGTCACTTAACCAACTGAGCCACCCAGGCGCCCGCTTTTTAAATTTTTTAATAGGTGTGTGTATCCTTAACAATTATTACTCAGTTTTGTATTTTTTTTTAGCTATATAAAAATCATATCATTTAGTCTCCTGGGACTTTTTCTTCTACTCAGTATCGTGCACAAGCAAGCACAAGAGTTTCAAGGGATAATCTTGCTGGATCATAGATTATATTAATACTCAGTTTTACAATATAACACCAACTTAATTTCCAAAGTGGCTGTACCGATTTACATTCCCACCTGTGATATTTATGAGTTCTTATTGATCTATATGTTTTTATCAGCACTTAGTCTTACCAGGTTTCTTAATTTTTGTTATTTTGAGTCTTAAATGGTTTTTCATTGTGGTTATAATTTAACATTTCCCTGAATGCTAATATGGTTAACCATTTTTCATATGTTTATTTACCCATGTGATTTTCTTCTCTCATTAAATGCTTGTTCATTTCTTTTTCCCACTTTCTATATACCTTTTCCTTATTAAATTGTCAAAGTACTTTATATACTCTGTATTCTGAATATTTGTTGGTGTGCCGATCTGTGTCAATGCAGTAATAATACTGTAAACGATAACCATTGTAGAAATTTCAGAGAGGAAGGGATTTAGTCACTTACATGTAAGTACTACTAGATCGCTGGTTTTAGGATCATAACTTAGGGGCTGTGATCTGGAGGTCAGAAATTTATGGTGCTGCCACCATCTCTGTTGCTACTCCTACAGCATCATTTCCATAAAGCTAGAGTCTTGCCATTGGAAAGCGAGGCACAGGGTATTGACTATAAGGATACTCTCATGTCTGTCCAGTTTTGCTTGCTATCTGTCATACCAATAGAAAAATATTCTCAGCTCACTTCTGTTTTCCATATCCCCCTCAAGTGCCTCTCACTGGTGAAACTTTAATCCCACCCACAACTCCAGCTACAAGAACCACTGAGAAATATAGTTTTAGACTTTCAGCCACTGTGCTAGAGGCTGGAAGATGAAAAGGGATGGGAATGAATAATGTTGCTACAGTACCATACAACATGCTAGCCAATAGGTGTTTCATATATCTGTTCCCAGGTTATGATATGTTTCATGAAAAGAATTTTCTATTTTGTTTTTAATCTTAAGGTAGGTGAATCCATCTTTTTTCTTATGGTTGTTATTCTTCGTGTCTCTAACAAATCCTCCCCCAGCCTGTGATCATAAAGATCTATTTTGGGCTAAAAATGTTTAAAGTTTTATTCTATCCCAAGTTTCTCAACTTTAACTTTTAAAGATCATGTAGCTGGGCTGAAATCTGATACATCTTTTGTTGTTGACTTGTATAATTAGACCAAACAGGGAAGAAATAATTTTGTTTAGTTCTAAATTCATTTAAAACATGGGCTCTTTTATTTATTTATTTTTTTTAAGATTTTATTTATTTGCCAGAGAGAGAGCGCACAAGCAGGCAGAGAGGCAGGCAGAGGGAGAGGGAGAAGCAGGCTCTCCACTGAGCAGGGAGCCTGACATGGGGCTCGATCCCAGGACTCTAGGGTACCTGAACCGAAGGCAGCCGCTTAAGCTGCTGAGCCACCCAGGTGCCCCTAAACATGGGCTCTTTTAAAGCTAGCATTCTTCTGTATGTATTTTGCTATATATAGCAGTTTCCTTTTTTATTGTTAATTTATTTTAGTGTAATACATGTTGTTCTTTAGAATAGAATAATCTAGAACTCCCATGGAATTCGTATGTCTTGCTTTTGACTATTTTGTCATTTTCTCCCTTCCATTTTAAAAAATATGTTTCACTATTTCTCCTCTTTTCTAATTTCTGAAAGTTTCATATGTTTAAGCTAGTTGGCTGAAGTGTAAAATAAATCTTTTAATTGGGTTTTCAGTTTTCTTATTTGCTTTTCCCTCATGGAAAAGTTTTTCTAACTTTAACTTTTTATGATTTACTATTCTATCTCAAAAAAATTATTAAATAAGCCATGCTGTTCCTAACAAAGAACATTGCTAAGATTTTTGAATCACCAATGTATGTAAATTAAGCTTGTATTTTAATGTAATGGGGATAGAAAATGTATTATATGGTTGAGATAATAATTTTGTTTCCTATATTTGATTCCACATACTTACTTCCTTTCATGTCCAGGTCTTTTTAAGCCAGTCTTTTAAAAATCTGCCTTTACCTATTTAACAGTAATGTGGTCATGTCTCATGAGTGTATTTATTCCTAGTACAACAGGAAAGTGGGAAAAAATGGATTCTGAGCTTATTAAAAAGACACTTTTAGTAACTTGAAAATGTTCTCAGGTTTTAAAGTGAATTCTGCTTATTATGTTTTTAGGGCAACATCCTATCTTTAATTATGTATTGCAGTTAAGGACTGCAAAATCAAGAGAGTTTATCATTTTTAAGGAAAGTATCTTAAATGTGTATACATGGTCAGTTCTGAGTAATGGAAGCTAGCAGTGACATGGATTATATAGTAGTATGCAATTCTACACTGTTGGGTTTTGGAAACATTTTAATATTTACATTTTTATATGGGTGGATATAATGTGGGAATTGACTACAGATAGGAGATAATGAAGTCATTTAAATCAGGCTAAGGAAGAGATGAAAAAATACTTTCCTTCCTCCCATTTTTAAGTCTGTTCCTTGAAATCTAGTTCATGTTGAGAATATAGTGTTTTATATTGTTTTGTACTAAATTTTTTCTGTAATACCATCTTTTCTCCTCAAAACTTATCAGAGGAAGTAAATTGGGTAAGATAATGAAATGCAGGATTATATGTACAACACTTTCTGGCACTAAATACTAATTTTTATTGTTTGTTATATTATTATTCAGGCTATGGAAGACATCATTTGTTGCCTCCATAAGAGCCATTTTTAATTCTTTCATTCAGCTCTGATTTTGTTCCAGTGTCACTGTGCTCAGGGGAGATGAGCTGCTTCCACAGTTTTAAGTGATAAGTCTTTTATTCACACTAGTTTGAATTTCTTTTTGCCAGGGATTGGTCTAGGAATGAACACGGGACCCTACTTTTAGCCAGTGAAGTTAAGAGAAAATCTGTTGTAGAGCTTCTCGTAAAGAGTTTTCTCCCTGATATAAAAAAAAAAAAAAAGGCTGGCAAGAAGAAAGCTTTACCTCTTTCCAGCTTCTTGTTATTTTAGAAAGTGATATGTGAAGTTGGTATAGCCATTTTGTATCAGTGGAGGTAGATACCAAGATTGAAAGAAGGGAGAGATGAGAAAACCTTTGGTCCTTATTATATTATTGAACTGCTGAAACAAATCTGGAACCACTTACCCTCCCGATTTAATATTAGATGAAGTAATAAAATATTCATTCAATCATTCATTTATAAGTATTTATTGAGTGCTTATATGTACCAGCACTATTCAAGTGAATATATCAGTGATAAAACAGCAAAAATGACCAAACGTACTTGGGGTGCCTGGGTGGCTCGGTTAAGCATCTGTCTCTTGATTTTGGCCCAGGTAATGATATCAGAATCCTGATATCAAGCCACTTGTTGGGCTCCCTGCTCAGTGGGGAGTCTACTTGTCCCTCTTTCCCTCTGCCCCTCCCCCCAATAGTGTGTGTACTCTCTCTGGCTCGTTCTCAAATAAACAAATAAATCTTTTTAAAAAAATGACCGTCCTTATTTTTTGTTAGTCATTTTGTTACTTACAGCCAAAATATACTAACTGATAGAGAGACTTAATTGCATCTGTCAGATTCATAAACTACAGCCTGTGGACCAAATTTGGCCTGCTACCTTTTGTAAATAAAAGTTTATTGACTCAGCCACATTCATTCATTGATATATTGTCTATGGTAAACACTGCTGTTCTTGTGCTACTTGAGGTGCTGTGAGGAAGACCATCCCCAAAAGTCTGCCAAAATCCTAAGCTTTATAAAGTTTTAAATTTCCATTTCAAATCTCATATAAAGCCAGAGCTACCCTGATTTTTCTGTGTCTCTGTTTATAACTGAGTTTATTGTTCTCTATTTATGTGTATATTCATACACTCTAATTGTTTGTTATATTATTATTCAAGCTATGGAAGACATCATTTGTTGCCTCCATAAGAGCCATTTTATATTTTCCCTTTGATTACTAGTCTCTAATCATGCCAGCCTTCTTATTTGGCTTCCTTAAACCTGGCAAACCAGTGTCCCCCTGAAGACCTTACCTAATTCTTCTGCCTAGAATACTCTTCTCCAGACCCACACAGGACTGTCTTCCCTTTGTTCAGATCTTTTATCAGGAAAGCATTCCCTGACCACATTATCTAGCTGTTTCCACCGTC